ATGAGCATAACACAAGTTCAATTGTGGTATAACCGGTTTAAGGAAGGCCGAGAAGATGTCAATGACGATGCTCGTCCTAGTCGCCCAAGCACGTCAACCGATGAAAACATTGAAGCAGTGAAGAAAATGATTTTGGATAATCGTCGAATCACTATCAGAGAGGTTGCTGATGATGTTGGCATATCGTTTGGCTCATGCCAAGCAATTTTTACGGATGTTTTAGACATGAAACGTGCGGCAGCGAAGATTGTTCCAAAATTGCTAAATTTTGAGCAAAAACAACGTCGCATGGACATCGCTCAGGAGCTGTTGAACAGCGTCAACGACGATCCAGAATTCCTCAAAAAGGTCATAACTGGTGACGAATCATGGGTGTATGGCTATGACATTGAAACCAAAGCCCAATCATCCCAATGGAAGCGTCCAGAAGAGCCAAGACCGAAAAAAACACGTCAAATTCGGTCAAATGTGAAGGTTTTGCTCACTGTTTTCTTCGACTGCAATGGCGTGGTGCATCATGAATTCTTGCCACAAGGTCGTACGGTCAATAAAGAATACTACCTTGAAGTTATGCGCCGTTTGCGCGAAGCAATTCGTCAGAAACGCGCAGAATTGTGGAAAAAACAATCATGGATTTTGCACCATGATAACGCACCAGCTCACACATCGATGCTTGTGCGTGAGTTTTTGGCCAAAAACAAAACCGTTATTATGCCTCAACCACCGTATTCACCGGACTTGGCCCCCGCTGACTTTTTCCTCTTCCCAAAACTGAAGACACCGATGAAAGGAAAGCGTTTTGCTACGATTGAGGAGATAAAAGAAAAATCGAAACAGGAGCTGTTGGCGATACCAAAAAGCGCGTTTCAGAAATGTTTCGAGGATTGGAAAAAACGCTGGCATAAGTGTATTATATCTGAGGGGGATTACTTTGAAGGGGACAAGATAGTTATTGATGAATAAATACTTTTTGAAAAAAATTGAAAATAATGGTTATTTTTTGATCAGACCTCGTACATCTAATTTATGATTCATTGGTTAGAGACATGCAAAGTCGGGCTTTCCATTAATTTTAAGCCAACAAAGTAAATTCTAAATCTGTCTTTATGTAACTACTTTGAATTAATAAATATTGTTAATAATAATTGTTAATAGCAACCCGGACACCTCTAAAATTTATAATTCATTCTGAGCCTTTATTTTTAGTCCTATTTTTGTGAAACTTTCAGGAAATACCAATAATAACCAAACTTATGGTGGAGAAACCTTGAATTTTTTGTAAACCTTCGAAAAATATTTATTTTGAACAATTTAAAAAAAATTAAAAAGAACATTTACGCGCCATTCTGTATTAAATCTATAAAAATTTACTGCTTTTTGTTTTAATGAATATCTAGTAGTTTTTAAATGGAATGCTTTCCCACCTTTTTTTCTTAAACGTCTCTGTAGAGTGTTGCCTTATCGTTGCACAAATTTAAAGCTCTCAATATTGTCAAGACACATAATAAGACGAAGTATTCCCAATGGCATGCATATAAATACAATTTTACATTAGAAAATCCTTAAAACATTTTTTCTTTCGCGAGAGGTCCGGTTTCCTCTTAATAAGAAAAGTAAGTCATATTATTCTTTCATGATAAATTTTCCTGGCCCTAAAAAAGACGTGAATGTGAAATATTGAAATCAAATTGTACATTTTTATAACAACTTTTTTATATTTAGAACAAATAGTACTTATACAATGCGTTATTTTAAGTTAGTAAAAATCTATCTTGAAAAAGTGTTCAGGTACCGTATGTACAGGATACTACAATCAAATGTTGGTTCTGAAAATGTATTTTCTTCATAAGCCTATATCTCGAAAACTTAATAAGTGATTTAAAAAATAAAAAATAGTTTTGAACATATATATTTAAATCTACCCATACCTCGCTGGAATGCATCTTATACTGAAACACAGTGTACATAGTATGCATTTCACACCCCTTCTTCCCCCTTTGACTACGCCTATGACAACAAGTCGATCGTGACACACTTTTAAGATAAAAAGTAGATACAGTATATACAGAAAAGTTGGCCATCCCTGGTCTTTATGATTATCTGTGTGGTCCTTGTAATTTTTTATTTCTTCTTTTAAACCATCAAATTATCGTTTTGATATTTTATAGCTTTATTTCGGGACAGTATATCTTATTTTTATTATTTCTTGCGAATTTTCGTTTTCCATTTTGCTAAATTGGGTTTAAGCCCATGAACTATGTTGCAAATATACAGCCACTTTTTTCCACCTTTAACTGGCGATGGTTGCCGATTAGTGATGACGCATGTCGAGAAAGTCTCGTCTCGTCTCGTCTCATTTCGTTTCGTCTCTCTCGTCTCGCGGCATCTCTACTACCGATATTTAGCCTAATAATCATAATTTTCCGGGATTACTATTATTTTTTTTACGAATAAGTCAAATTGTATACTCACAGTTCAACCTCTTTATAACTAAGAAATATAGGAGCACTTCACGTGTTCACTCTTGCAGTCTTTTACTACCGACCTGACCTACATCTAGTAGGATACATTAAACTCGTATTAAGCAACAATAAAACCAAAAATGAAGAGATCAAATTAATTAAAATGCAATATTTCAATGTTTCCTACTTTACTGTGAGGTCGTATTCTCAAATTATTCGTGCTGCTCTATCTATGCCGCCCGTACTGTTATATTCGCCAACATTAAAGTTTGACCACCTTGTTCGGTATTGATGATGTTCCTTATAAATTTAATTTGCACTAAAACGTTTTACTGTATTAAGATCAAATCAAAATAAGGTTTAGCAGACTAAATAGAATCTCTAATGGAAATCATATCATCCGGCTTCAATTACAAATCAATAAAACCAATTATATTTAATGATACTACGAAATCAGGTCAGGATTCAATTAAGTAGTCCCTAATTTCGAAATACCGCCATTACAGCACGAATATACGTTTATTGATATTTAGTTTAATATAAGGAAATAGGTCAGCAAAGTTCAATCTATAAAGAAGGGTTCGAATAAAATCTAATTCTGATTGTCAATCAATCGCACTTTTATTGGATGATAAAATCGACACATCCACATTGACAGCTTCTTTTATCCTATGTGTATTTTCCTGCTTCAATCAGGTTTGAAAGCAAATCTCCACACGTCTACCCCGTAGGCAATTATGTAGTAAAGAGGAAAATAATTCCAAACTCAAATGTGACGCAGGTAAAGGGGTTACAGATGATTAATTTTGACACTGACATTTTATGAATGTATACCAATTTCTGACGGATTATAGTCTCAATTAATTAATTGTTGGAGTCACAGATATTAGAGAATTGAAGTGTTTCCAGTACGTTAACGTAAACGTCAACACACAAAAATAATGTTTACGTTGAAGTTCAAAAAATAAGTTGAAGTAGTTATTAGGATTTCTTCTTTCCCAATTAAAAAGAGGTTATTTTATTTGCGTTAAGTGCATACGCCAGAGCCCGTAGGCTTACGTGTGTACGTAAACGTGAACGTAAAGAATAGTTGAATACGCATGCGCAGATGTCAGTTTTCACCTATACGTTTACGTTCCTAGCATCATTTCAACTCTCTATTGATTAGAGGCATTGAGATAGAATAAAAAGTAGATGCTACGACGATACCAAAGTGTCCGCACCTTCATATTACAATTTTACGTCATATGTCAAACGAGGTAGTGGATCACATACTTTGATTTTTAGTGGATATAGTCAGTTTTGGTGAAAATAAATGCCATAAATGTTTATTAGCTTCATCTAAATGATATAAAATCATTTTCATTCCGTCAGTCTTTAAATATAAAATTGTTGACTTCAAGATATCAAATATCGGTTTTTTCTACACTGATCATTCATGAAGATAAGAAAAATATTAATGCTTATTAAAACCTTCAAATACATAAATATAATTGATCCTTCAGATATAGTACACAGAGTGAGATGAAAAGTTGGTCCTTCGGCCGGTTTTAAATCATCAAAAATCATATTCAACCACAATAATTAATGTTTCCAGATTATAATGAATAAAATTCGTTATATGTGTTTTCAAATCATCGATATTTTATTGCACACTGATAGTTCATGAAGATAAGAAAATATTCATGATTGATCAGCCCTTCAGATACATATAAAAGATTTTTTCTACACCGACATGGATATTAGCTTATCTACGCACAGATTACAAAACGAAAAAGTATGCTTTGCCTTCAACTGAATGAATATATTTCATAACCATTCTAGTTAGTAAAAACACTGCAAAAAAATGAAATCCACCAGTCACCGTTCATATTTTGATCAACCGACTGCTATTATTTTTAAAATTTTAAATAAGTGACAATTCTGTTAAACTAATTGTCAGTATATTTTTTAGTTATTGAGATTAAATATACATTAAAATGGGTTATTCTTGTGTAAAATCGATAAATAATAGCATTTCTGTTTTTATTTCGTCTATAATTATAAATTATTTGTTAATTTAAATAAAATTATACGAAGTCAGTTTAATTACGAGTATTACATCAACAAAAATAAAAGAATAGGTGGTCCTGTGGTTAGAGTTCTTGCCTTCCACACTGGAGACTCGAGTTCGATTCTCAAATGGGGAAAAATAAAATAAATTTTTTTTCTTTTTTTTTTAGTTTATTTAATTTTAAAACTTATTAAAAGTCATAAATTATTTTAAAATTAGTTATTTTGTCTTAATAACCTAAAATATTTTTTATATTTGTAAATTTTCGTTAGTGGGTCGTAGAAAAAATATTCTGTACAACTCGAGTGGATTGCCACATCGCACTCAGACGATTGAGCACTCCGCCTACGGCGTCGTGCTCAAATTTCGTATTCGTGCGATATGGCCTTCATATCCACAAACTACAATTATGTTACACTGCGAATAAAATGGCGGAATTTATATCTTAATAAAATGATTTCTTATAGATTTTTTTTCTTTTTCAGTAGGCGGGATGTCGCGGCCACCAAAGCCAGCGGCAACCGCAAAGAAAGTACCACCACCTGCTGTTCCGCATGAATTTAGACATTCTGGAAGTTCGTTCGGGTCTGCAGGATATGCTAGTTCGGAAGATGCTGGATTGCTGGCTCCTTCTGAAGCATCTGGCATACCTAGAGGTAAGTTATCAAATTTTACGCTTTTATTATTATGTTCAAACGAGATCTACTGTAGATCTTGAAACTACCTTTTGAAGTGAAGGCGACACGAATTATAGTGAGGAATCTCAGAAGTTTGCTTAATCGAAAATGTGAAATAAAAAATGCATATATTAAATATGTTGAAAATATAGAGCATGTTGTATAATAATGACCTTTTTTCCTCAAATGACATTGTAAATGCTTTAGCAAATGATTTTAAGAGGGTATTAATAATAACGATACGGATCCAGAGATTGATAGTATTGAAGCAGAAACCTATTTAATAATCAACGCTGTTACATAACAACAAATCATGTATGCCTCAAAGAACTGATCCTCAAGCCCTAGGAATACCTAGTGCAATAATTAAAAAACATGTTCAACTTTTTCTTAACTCTTTTTGAAAATTTATAATTTGATAGTGAAAACTTCCAATTTTCCCACAAAGATAATATGTCCAATATTTTTAAAAGCGGAAGTTTAGCAAGAATTATAATCAACTACAGATCAATCGCATTAATATCAGTTTTCTCCAAATTATTTGAAATTGTATTATTATGATACAATCTACTCACATGTAAATAATATATAAATCGGGTATAAGGTTTTGGATGACAAGCGACATGCCATACCTAACATTTGACATAGTGGGTTTTTAGCGATTCGCTCAACATCCCCCCCCCCCCCGCATGCTCAATAAGCTTCTAAACTTAACAAATAATTGATAACTAAGTGCCTTTGTCAGTATGTCTGCTACTTGATTACATGTACGTTTATATAAACTAAATTAATGCAGTTCTCTTCAACTTTCTCACAAATAAACTTATACTTAAGATCGATATGCTTGACTCTTTTGTTGTTGCTAGAATTTTTAATTATTGAAATAATTCCCTGATTATCTTCAATATGGTAATGGACTCTATATTTATGGAAAAATCTTTTAATAGTTTTTGAAGCCATACACCTTCACTTACGGCTCCCGTAAGAGCTACTAACTCAGCCTCGCAAGTTGAAAGTGTTACGCAGTGTTGTTTTCTTGTTGACCAAGTAACAATATTATCAAATATCTTGTAAAAATACCCTGATACTGATCTGCTATCAACAGAATCCCCTCCCCAATCAGCATCAACAAAACATACCAATTCAGTTCCTTCAGGTCTACGTTTATATTCAATTCCAATAGATGTAGTACTTTTCAAATACTTTAAAACAATTTTTAAGTGATTATAAGTCTCATCTGAAGCTCTATCTTGATAGCGACTAAAAAAATTTAAAGCAAAACAGATATCAGGTCGCGTTCCCAACATTAAATATATTAAGACCTAAAGGGTTGTTTAGTTAAATTATTTCCGTCTGTACAAATATCAAGTTTAAGTTTAGGATCCATTGGTATATTTTAATTTCTGCAATTGTCCATACCAAATCTATTTAAAATACTTTCTATATAACTTGTCTGACTTATTTTTAAAATGCCTAATTCCCTATTATAGTCAATTTCAAATCTTAAAAAGTTCTTTAATTTCCCCTTTATTTTAATTCTAAATTTTGAAGTTAATTTTTCTATTATAATATTTATCAAATTTATATTTTTCCCAGCAATAACAATATCGTCTACATACAGAATTAAAAATACCTTTTCTACATCATTAGAGAATATATATAAACAAAAATCATTTTCTGATCTTATAAAACCAATTGCCAATAAGTAGATATTTATCTCAGAATTCCAACACCTGGACTTCTTTAACTTAAAAACCTTTTCATTATAACAATATACACCCTTTGGTGGATAAATATAAACATTTTTATCTATTTTTGCATTTAAAAAGGCTGACCTTACATCCAGTTGTTGAAAGTGAAGTAATAATTGATTTCCTATAATTAATAACAATCTAATTGCAGTCATGCATACTGGCGAATACAAATCATTATAATCAATATCATTTTGTGCAAACCCTCTTACAACTAACCGTGCCTTGTATTTATCATTTTCATTGTCTTCCAATCTTTCATAAGCATATACCCACTTTGTATCTATGATTTTACTGTCCTGTGGTTTTTCTACAATCTCCCAAGTATCGTTTTTTGATAGCGACTCTAACTCTATTTTCATAGCTTTCTCCCGTTTACTCATATCATCCCTATACTCAATTTCATCAAAACTCTGTGACACATCATCAATAAATTGCATTGCACCATATATAATTGATAATCGTCATATCTTGCTGGTGGTTTTGTTTGACGTTTACCCTGTCTAAAATAATTTTCATTATCTTACCACCTGTTTTATTTTTACCATCTATATTATTTCCAGTAATATTATCTAAACCTTTCAAATCTGATCCTATATTTTCATCTGCATCATTTCCCTCAATTAGTAATTCTGCATTATTTTTGTTGTAATTTCATCAAATTTTACATCCCTAGAAATTAAAATATTTTGCCTTTTAACATCCCATAATCTATTTTGAGATTGAAAAACCAAACACCGACTTTGTCATCAGAAAATATTCTTTGAATTTAGAAAATGCCTCACTTTTATATTTTAAAGTATAAACTGATGTAAAATTGGAGAAATCATCAATGAAAGTAATAAAATACTTACTGCCATCATGTGCAGCAGGCGTTATTGGTCCACATATGTCCGTATGGACTATTTCCAACAATTTAGTACTCCTATGTCTAGAACCAAAAGGTTTTCTCGTCATTTTTCCGGCTGTACAAGCCTCACAAAATTCTACTGGTGAAAATTTAACATTACCTATACCTTCAACCATATTTTTATTTATTAATAACTTCAAACTATTAAAATTTAAAGGGAAGTAAATGGCTCAAAGTCTGTCGACCACATAAATTTATTAGGTTGGGTTGCAAGCGCTTTCGACCTAAAAGGTCATCATCAGGCAAAAAAAAATTTGTGAGTAGGTAGGTAGGTACAATCACTATGTGTCCACAGAAAAAATTAAATATGTTGAATTAAAATTTTAAATTGTAAAAATTGTTGTAAAAATTATATAAATTGGCACGTACTGCCTCCTTCATTCGAGGTTGGATATTGTTCAATCTTGAACCTCGCCTGCCTCCATCTAATGAAGGTGGTTATAAAAGATAATATCAAATTTAAAGTTCCACATGTGTTATTAAGGCACCATGTGAAAAATGTAACTTTTAGAAAAATACCGTTACTCCCCCTATCTAAAAGTTACATTTTTCACATGGTGCCTTAAGCACACATGTGGAACTTTAAATTTGATATTATCTTTTATAACCACCTTCATTAGATGGAGGCAGGCGAGGTTCAAGATTGAACAATATCCAACCTCGAATGAGGGAGGCAGTACGTGCCAATTTATATAATTTTTACAACAATTTTTACAATTTAAAATTTTAATTCAACATATTTAATTTTTTCTGTGGACACATAGTGATTGTACCTACCTACCTACTCACTTACAAAAAATTTTTTGCCTGATGATGACCTTTTAGGTCGAAAGCGCTTGCAACCCAACCTAATAAATTTATGTGGTCGACAGACTTTGAGCCTTTTACTTCCCTTTAATCTACTTCGGACCACTTTGAGATATGGATAATATTTGGAATTTTTATTAAAATTTAAATGAGCAAACCTTTGATGCCATCTTTCGAACTCAATACTTTTAACATTTACATTGGACATTCATTTTTAACGACATCATAAGTTATCTCATATAAACAATTTCTCTTTCCCAAACTTATTATTTCATTTTTATAAATAAACCCTCTTCAAAAATTATTTTTATGCCTGCATTTCTAGTTTTTTGACAGATAGCAAATTCTTTCGTAAATCTGGTATGTATAATACATTTTTAATATTACAATTTATTTTCTTCTCCCCAACTGTACTTATGACATTAATATTGCCTACCCCAATAGCTTATAAAAACTTTTCATTCTTTGAAATTGAAATTTAAATTGGTTTATTTAAAATAACAAAATCCGAAAATAGTTCATCATTATTTGTCATATGATCAGTACACCCAGAATCTATAAAGAATGTGACCTGACTATTATTAACGGTTTCACTTTCACAGTTAAATAGTAAATTTTCAGTATTGAAACAAATATTTGAAAATTCCTCAGATATGTCACTGACCTGATTATCTTGTCCCTCTTGTTCTGTGAGATTACTAGTTGAATAATTCCTACCTTGTACTTCTCCATTGTATCTACCCCTAATTGTAGCACCTCTTCCTCTGCTTGTTACAAAATATCTACCTCTATTTTTAGCAGAATCTCGTCCCCTATTGAAATATTGACCTTTGTAGTTCTGATATTGACCTTTGTAGTTCTGGTTCTGACCTCTGTAGTTTTGGTATTGCCCTCTGTAGTTCTGATTTTGCATATGTCCTTTAGGATTTTCATTTATATAATATCCCTGATTAGAAAAACTTGTCAGCGCCCTGCATTCTCTCTTAAAATGTCCAACTTTCCCGCACCTGTAGCATCCTCCTTCACTTTCGCTATTAAATGCTGTTGGGTCTACACCCTCATACTGTCTTTTCCCTAAATTTCTCTTTTCTTCTTCACTTATTAGTTTTTTCTTCACATTTTCATATGTTAATACATCATCTGATAAATTTTCTATAACTGTCGAAACCATTTCGTATGATTTTGGTAGGGTAAGTAATAAATGATATCCTTTTCTTCTATCTTTACACCTGTAGCCTTCAATTGTCTGATTACCTCTTCAAAACTCATTATAAATTTCTGCAACGATTCTTCTTCTTTTAGTTTCATTTGTAACAATTTTTTCTTTAAATAAAGTTGCCCCGGTAACCCTTTCTTTTCAAATTTCTCTTCCAGCGTTTTCCACATGTAATATGCTGTAGTTTTATCTCTCAAACATTCCAAAATTGAATCGGCAACACATTGAATAATTAACGATTTTGCCTTATTGTCATTTTTGTTGCCCTTGCATTTGCGACAAGCGAGTTAATATT